TGTTGAACCAGTGGGTGTGTTGTTAACCATGATATGAGAATATTATTCAGCATTCCTGCCCCCTATCCACTATCGAGTGCCAGCGAGGCGATGTTGCAATGGAAGACAGCCTTTGTTCTCATCACAATTTGAAAATAAAAACACAAACAATCTCCCGGACAAACATGTATTTTTCTCATTTTCTTCCAGTATACATTCAGCAGAACATTAAAAGTGCGTTATTTTAATATTGCCCGATGAGAGACATAACTAAACATGAATATGCACAATAACATAACATAACATAGTTTGTTGAACATGTACACTAAGGTGCATTAAGTTGCACTTCATTTTCATTTGTTATCGGATCATGATACAAAGTTGTCCCTCAGCCTGAACTCAACAACCGGACAATGACAAAGTTTATAACTAAATATCTGATGAAAGTGTCTGATAACTGCAATTCTACCATGAATTTGGAAAATATTGGAATCTGAATGGTCAATCAGAGGCTATCAAATCACAATAAACCCCCTCTGATTGAAACAGATGGTTTGACGGCTGCATCACCGCGGAAGTTAATATTCAATTATAATGGTACTTTTTTCAGTCATTGTCGGTAGGCACATCTAAATAATAATATCTACAAATACAGGTTACAAAATGCAAAGTTGCGGTTACTACAATATTCAAAGTATGTTCGACAATACATTTTGTGCAGAAAACACAATAGAACTCTTCAGAGAGTATATATATATATTAAGTTTTGGGGACAACAGAGTGCTTGGAATACATCAACTGTGACGTCATAGCGTTGGCGTCACATTGAGCAATATGACGTCATAATGATAAGGTGCGGTGTAGAACGAAAGCTTTGCAAGGCTTGCTTAGTTTTCTTATGGCGTGCCCACCTCATGTTAACCTACAAGTTGCCGTGATACATGCTTTCAACACCTGTCATATGATCGAGTGACCTATTACGGTATAAACAAACTGCTTGAGCATATACAGCTTCATGTTTTTTTCACATGCTGTTGTCAGTGGTCCGGTAATTAAGATCGACAACCCCCACAAAACACTGTATTCAACCCATGCAAGGTCACTCAATATATTTGCTAGCTCCAAAGAGTTCACGGTTTTTTTTAGTCATGGTAGAATGGAGATAATTGATCGCGCTACATTTAACATTTGAAACCTCATGCTGCCCGTTCGGTTCCAAATTCAATTTAGCGCGGTTACATTTACAGGTGACCTACCTTTACATTGAAAACACCTTATGTTTATCTCCCAATTGTTCTTTATTATCGGTCTATTACATGTCTGATATGTCCATTTATTATGATAAATATCCTGCACCTATTCACAACCACAGCTTCTTTTAGGAAGTGACGTCAACATCTCCGCAACAACATTGCTCGCTCATGATAGTAATTGGATGCGATGGCAATTTCTAAATCAAACATGTAAGTCATGGTTTAAGAAATGATATGATTGACATATTGCCGATGTGACTTTGATTTTAACTCATTTACTCAATGAATCTCAGAACGAAGCCTGTTAACTTGGCATGCTTGTATCAATATAAACGTTAACTATCAACTATATGTGTGTAATAAGACTACTTAGACAAAAGATACATGTTGACAACTCTATAACCCGGAAGAGGAACAAGGCATAGTGATACGAACTGCGCATGACAGGGAGACTTACCGCGCAGGAAGGAGGGTGTCCTTGGTCAAACACATCTGTGCTTTGGTTGGTTAAGGTGAAGTTACATGGTAGCAGAGCAGAACAACACAATAACATGGCAAAGATTTTTAAGATACCACGCAGTTTAACGGAACAAAACAACTATGAAACAACTAATGTGTGGAAGCTCGAAACAGATGTTCAAGAAGAGAAACAGGCATTGGCTAAAACACCTTTTCTGTCGGGACAAGCAAGGGCAAAGGCTTTTGAGAAAGATTTGACAATACTTAACTGTAAAGATGTAATACTAGAATTGATGAGCCCACTTGATGAACCATGTGAACAATTTAGAAACGATGGTTTTAGTCGATACTGTACCAAGTGATGTACAGTTTAGATTTGGAGATGAAGTCCAGGTTCGTTCATTCATGAAGGCGACAATACCAGCGCAGATGGGCGAGACAGTATGTAAACTGAAACAGAAGTGGTGAATGTAGACCTTCCACTCCTTTTGAGCAAGGACTCCCCGAAGAAAGCAGACACTGTTCTGGGCACAATCAAGTCCACGGTGTTCCAGAAGACAGTGGAGTTAGAGTCTAGAGCAAAAGGGTATTTCTGTATTGATATTGGCGAACAAACTCAAGGAGGCGTGGAAGTATTTGAGTTGTTACTGCTTGATGGAAATCTTAGCAACAAGGAGAAGAGACAAAAAAGAGCAGTTTGGCCTTGCTTCAGAATTTAGAATAAAATGGTTGAATAAAAACGCTGGCATTAATGATCATTACCTGATTAATATTTTGTCACAGATTGTTTAAGAATGCAACGGAAACATAGAAAGACACCACCCAAGACAGCACCACATTCCTGACGACTAATCAGTGTCCACTCACAATGCAATGAGCGTCTACCGAATTTCAGAGAATTTCAATATCAGATAAGTTCGGCTTCCCAATGTATGAGATTCAGTTGCAAAATGAGAAGACTGAAGCGTGACACCGCATCGATGTTACGTGACCAGGTGAGTCACTCTGGTACATTCTTTACGGGGCGTTTTCAAGGCTAATAACAAAGCTAATGAAACAGTTAATTAATTCATGTAAAAATTCCGATAAAAGTGAAACAAACCATGTTGTTTTTGGTATTGTTTAAAACAATAACTATCAACCACATAAGAAACGTCACGTCTAACGAAGTGTTGATCCAGACCCGATCGATCGAAAACATATTTCATAGTTATATTAAAATAATAAAGACTCACATTTCATATTTTAAGAAAATATACACTCAAATATTTTGGATCTAAAGCAATACTCAATTTTAATGCAGGAAACGATCAATCTTTGCCGGACGGACCATTCGTCTCACGACCAAGATGTTTTGCAACCACAGCAGTTGTTTCCCCTTTCAACAGGTGGAGTTATATCCAGATCAATATAATTAATGTATTTTGGCCTATAATTATTTGGTGTTTTTTAAACATAAAGACTCAGGAAAATTAAGAAACTTATTATGAAAAAACAACATTACCACGTTTAAACTTGAATGTATTACGTCATACCTAAATCTATGTAAACTCAAGAAAGTAATATATGTATTTATATTTTTTCATAACTATTTTGATTTCTTATAGGGAGCACACAAAATGATGGAGATAAAGGTGGGGGGCACCAATCAACCTTATTAGGTATTTTTTTCAAAAACAATATTCGTTTTGTTCAACAATGATGTACATTTATTTTAGATAGGATGAATTAATCTCAAAATTAATTTCATATTATTAGTTTTAGGTAGAAACTCAATATCACAGTTAATTACTTTCATAATTAACAGACAACACAGAGTATTAAGACATGTAGAATTATGTTTGTCTCAAGTATATTCTTTAAACCAAAGATTTATTTTTTACCATGTTTACTGAAAAAAAAACCCATTTCTTTAATAATGCAATGGTTATATTATCATAGCAGATAAAGAGTCATAATATGCACAGCTAGCTTAATTTTAATGATAATTATTTCGCATTTCTTGGGATGATAAACTGGACACATGACAATATGTCAAGAAATGTGTTTTTATCTATTATTGTCCCATAACATGGTTTACTGTGGTTTATTTTTTCACATAATCTAATTGGCTGCCTGGGAGTGGAAAGCTGTGTCGTTATTTTAATCGGAGACCTTAAATTGTTCTAATGTGTAAATTTTCAGAACATGGTAAGTAAAGAAAAACTCAAATTTATGGGTGATGAGAAAATTTACCAAGATGAGGTCCTTTTATAACATTTTACCATAAACCTCATTTCTTTACATTAGCAATGTCTAATTTTAATTGTAATCCTTTTTACAAAAAAATCATATATGAAGAGGTCACTAAAATACATATTTATTATGAGTCTTGTTTTCATGAAGATAAAAAGAGAAAATGTTAATTTTAAATTACCTATTATCAGTAAGTCTTAACTTCTAATCTGATAAATTAACAAAAGAATAAAGTTTGGAGGTAACTGTTGCAGTAAAATAACAATATAACATTACAAAGGTTATTAAAATGCAAATATTTGTAGAACTATTGAAATGATTTGAAATATCATGTCCAAAGCAAAATTGTCCACTGAATAATTCATGATTAATCTGCCACAATTAGAACTCGGCAAAGCCTCGTTCTAATCGTGGCAGAATAATCACGAGTGTGTAGATTGTTCGGTAACAACCGAACACAGTGGTTAATCCTCAATGTTTCCCGCCGATGAGACCCCAATTTCCGTTTCTCAAGTTGAAACAATATATCAACCCGGAAATCTGTTCGCAAAAGAACTGTAGAAGTGGTATACAATCAATAAATGTACTACAATATTCACAAAGTTTACACAAATCAATACAAATTTCTACGCAGCAATTGCTATGGCAGGAACAAATAGAGTTGTATTATCATTTGCTAGTTTGTTTGTTTTCTTGTTTTACGCCGCATTCAACAATATTCGAGCTATATGACGGCGGTCTGTAAATATAGGGCGACATGAAGAGGACGTTTCCAAATTTGACAAACATGATGTCCTATGCAATGCCCTGTTTACAAGTGTACAATACACGGTGGTGCGTTATTATCACTATTTTGTAGCAATTAACAAATACATGCTAATGATAAAGTCGGAATCACTAGCGTTTTAGTCGAGCTTTCTTATGCTTATGGACATTTTTATTGACTCACAGGGTGTTTATTATAATCACCATCATTTATAAAGATGAACTCGTATAACTGTGCATCAATCTGCATATTTTTTGGTATGATGTTTCTTCAGTATTGCAGTAAAAGTTCATTCACTGCACAGCTACCACTTTCATCCTTATTGGCCAGAATTACCCTTTCCTTGTCGGCAGTGGCTATTGTGACATGTGAAAGGATATATTTCACAATATTTATATTTCTGGATTCACAGGCAAAATATAGGATGGTGTTGCCATTTGTATCAACGGATGACAGATTTGCTCCTTTCGTCACCAGGAAGTCAAACACGTCTCTCTTCCCCATCAAGGCCGCCTTCATTACTGCCGTCTGTCCGCCCTTTTCTCTGCTGTTAATGTCAACAATATTCTGTGCGAGAATATACTCGACTATCTCCAACTTTCCACCCTTCGAGGCATAATGAAGAATGTTTTTGTCATAATTATCCACTAATGTCAGATTCGCCCCCTTCTTCACAAGTAAATCAAAAGCTTCTTTATTTCGAATTCTTGCTGCATTCATTAGTGGAGTGTTCCCACTCTGTGCTCTTGAATTGATGTCATCTACAATATTCTGTCTAAGAATATACTTCACTATCTCCACGTTTAATCCATCACAGGCCAGATGAAGAATGTTCTCCTGACGTGCAGTTACGCTTGTTAGATCAGCACCTTTACTTACTAGCAAGTCAAACACCTCTCCAAGTCCATGGAGTGCTGCCAGCATCACAGGTGTCTTGCCGTCACGATTTTCACTGTTGATATCCACAGTTGTTTTTGTGATCAAATACTTCGCTACTTCAGTTTGTTTGCTAGTGCAGGCCACGTGAAGGAAGTTGCTATAATCATACTTCCCTTGTGTCAGATTAGCGCCTTCTCTCAAAAGCAAATACAATATGTCTCTATGTCCCACGGAAATTGCTATCCTTGCTGGTGTCAATGCGCCAACGTCTTCGCTGTTGATGTCTACAATGTTTTGTTGGAGGACATACTTCACTATATCCACATTTCCGCCATAACACGCCAAATGAAGGATGTTGTCATCGTCTTCATTCACATGAGTCAAATCTGCTCCTTCACTGATAAGTAAGTCAAACACTTCTTTATGTCCCCAACGTGCTGCCACCATTGCTGGTGTCAATTCTTCTTCGTTTTTGTTGTTGATGTCTACAATATTTTGTTTGAGGACATACTTTACTATATCCACATTTCCTCCTTCACACGCCATAAGAAGGATATTGTTGTTTTCTTCCTTCATAGTCAGAATAGCTCCTTTCTTCACAAGTAAATCGAATATGTCTCTGCGACCCATCTTTGCTGCTATCACTGCTGGTGTATAGCCATCCAGATCTTCGTTGTTCATTGCATCAATGTTCTGTTCGAGAGAATATTTCACGATCTCAATATTTCCCCCTGCAAATGCCATGTGAAGGATTGTCTCATAATCAGGGTGCATTATTGACAGATCAGCGCCTTTTTGCACTAAGAAATTAAACACGTCTAGTTTCCCGTTTACAGCTGCAAGCATGACAGGTGTCATCCCGCAGTGTTTCCTGTTTATGTCCACCCTGTTACGTTTCAATACATCTTCTAGTATCTCAGTATTTCCTCCCCGAATGGCCAGATCCACAAAAGTAGATCCCTTATCATCAAGTAGTGTTAGATCAGCACCTTTACTCACCAGCAAGTTAAATACGTCTCCATGTCCCCTAAACACTGCTAACATGGCTGCCGTCGACCCGTCCCGTCTTCTTCTGTTGATGTCTGTCACGTTCTGTTCGAGGACATACTTCACTATTGGAATATTTCCCCCTTTACATGCCACATGAAGGATGCCCATCCGAGCAGTACTCAAGATTGACATACTGGCTCCTTTCCCCACGAGAAAGTCAAACACTTGTCTATGAGCATTCTGTGCTGCAAGCATCAGTGGTGTCATTCCGTTCTGTCCTCTTGTGTTGATGTCTGCATGACCCTCAGATAATAAGTATTTGACTCGGCACATGTCTCCATTCTTGCAGGCATCGAGGAGATCAGTGTTTGACTGACTTTGGTTTTGTGTGTGATTCTGTGTTACTGAAAGAAAACATCAATATTTATCATACAAAACTGGCTTCCACAGTAGATATCGCTTGGGTGAGATCAAGTGAGATCTCAGTAAATTGCATTAGAATGCTTTGTAGACCATTGTGACGTCATTGTTAACATGGAGGCACTGCTTATTACCGTAGAGAAACTAAAAAAGTTGGAAGAATGATGTTGGATGATAAATAAGCATAGCAGTTTTTTCCTCATTTATCACCTCTTGATTGATATATTTGATATCAAAAGACACTCGGGTGATAATCTCTATTTGTCATCAGAAACATGTATTGAAGATTCTGTATTAATCTTCGTCTTATTTTGTTTAGTATGTGTAAAGATACACAGATATATCAATGTGTGTTCTCTTCAGTGCTAGTTTTCAATTACAATAGAATTTCAGTAGCATATTATGCAACCCATTTCGTAATGTTTTTTGTATTGTTTGTTGTGGAGCTGCCCTCAACAATATTCAAGCTCTATGCCAGAGTCCTGCCAATTATCACTTCTGGGCCAGACAATGTATGGATTGATATTATGAGCAAGGACCGACGCAGGCAGTGAAAGATAACACAATATCAACAAGTCACCGGATTGATGACCCAATCTATGTAGTCGTTTTGGAATAGATACCACTGGTGATCAATCATCACCGAGGGGCCCGTGAAGATCCGGGGTAGAATAGATCTTCAGGAACCCATGCTTGCTGTAAAAGGCGACTATGCTTGTCGTAAAAGGCGACTAACAGGATCGGGTGGTCAGGCTCGGTGACTTGGTTCATGCATGTCATCAGTCCTAATTGCGTGGATCAATGCTCATGTTGTCAATCACTGGATTGTCTGGTCCAGGCTCGATTATTTACAGACCGCCGTCAATAGCTGGAACATTGCTGAGTGCGGCGTTAAACAACAAACCAAACTAAACCACAAAGCACTATAGCATCATGGGGGCAACAGTAGCCCGGAATCCCAAAGGGGGCTGTTATAAATATGATACGTCAATGCCAAAGAATAGTCAGCCTTGATTATCTGCGAGAACAGATTTCATTGATTGTAAAATGCAAAATAGTGTTGACAAGTATATGAACGGATCACTTAAACAGTAAATCACACAGGTCAATAAACCATTGAGATATAATTGTGCTGTGTAATGGATAGTGGTGTCTAGTATAATGAAATCCGTTTTGGAATAGATACCACTGGTGACCAATCATTACCGAGGACCCGGTTACAGTATGCGTTTGAGACGATTTGGCGTAACAGCCCAAATAGTCAAGAGAGTATAAAATGAAATTGTACAAACTTATGATAGTGTAGGAAAATGGATTCAGACAGTTTATTTTATGATTTCATGTGTGCAACAGTTTCTGTGAGCATGACTGACAGATATTTCTTATGATTATGAAAACGGTTTTGTTGCTCATATTTATGAACCAAATCATATGCCAACTTCACTCGACTCCGCTGAAGGATAGCAAAGGGAGGCCTAAGGAACAAGAATTATTCGACACTTATTTCGTAGTTCGTGTTGTCAGAAGGATGTGGCAAATGTAATGGTACAGAAATGACTGCACGACCTATAATAAGTATACAGGTGCTGTAAAAGATAGACTGTATATACAAAGAGATTGTATAACCGTTGCTAGCCCATGTTGATGTGTCATGGACTAGTTATATTAATGTTACCATGTAATGTGGTTGTATGTCACTGACATTTCTGCTGCTAAGCTCGAAAGGTCAGCCTAGTTTTGTAATAATCATCTACAGAGACTAAACAGCAGGGACGTAAGCTAGGCCCAGATGAATGCCTTTACCTTCGTGATCCTCGGGTTGTAGACGTGTCACTTCACTCGATGCTGAAACCAAATTTCATATGGGATCAGGATGCGTAACTTTTCGTTTACTATATCAAAATATCACTTTGACATCATCGCAAAATACAACTTAGAATCAAGAACTAGAAACCAAATGGATACTTTGATTTATGATTTTGGTCCAATAACCGAGCTGTTGGTTGCAAGTAATACTCATTTTGTGCCTGTTGCTAATCAGGATCCTGAGGCATTTCCTCTTGTTTGACATACTCTAACTTGGCTCATATTTTGTTTTCATTAGTCAAAATAGTAACACTTCACGCTGATTTATTAAATTGTGTACCTTAGATGTCCCGTTCCTTATACATCTGAAATCATCCAAATGGCAATTATTCTACTGTTATTTTTTGTATTACTCAAACACAAACATTATTTTGGAAATTAGTTTATGAAACATCTCATGCAAACTCCATGTTCTCGTTACTCATAATAATCCTGTGTAAAGCAGCGAGGGTAGAATGTACACTGGAAAGTCTGGTACCGAAATAACCATACAAGATCAATGCATATTAAATAAAGTATATTAAACACACAGGATTAAGTTTTCAGTCATTAAAAGGGATCACAATTGGTTATTTGTGGTAGCAGCAGTACATAATAGGCATGTTTGCTGGTGTATTGGTGCTTGTAATATATGTGTGTATATAATGTATATATAATGTACGTATTCATTATATATATGTGTGTATTTGTTCGTCAAATGGGATGATGACGCAGGCAATAGGAAATATGGTGAAAGTCTGGTGAAAATAAATCCAGTTTTATACCTCCACGCGGGAGAGAAACATATTTGGAAGACTTTTGTGATAGACTTGAAAGTTCTCCTATTCATATAAAACAAACAAAACAAAACCTATCTGAATATGAATTGACAGGCCTTACTTATCTTAAAAATAATAAAGACATTGTTATTAAAGAAGCTGATAAAGGGGGTGCTATTGTTATTATGAATAAATCATTTTATCAAAGAAAGATAATATCCATTTTAAATGATGATCAATATTATAGCAATACTAGTAAAAGAGAAGAAAATCTGTCCAGAATAAGGTTAAGAAATTGTTAGATAAGTATGATGACAAAGTTCTAGACAAAGAAAAGGACTATCTTATCAATTTTGAACCTAAAACCGCTACATGTTATGGCCTACCCAAAGTACATAAAAGTAAATGTATTCAAAAGGAAATTAATGATCCAAATTGTGAAGTCATTTCTATTGAAAATCCCGAAGATTTACCATTTAGACCAATTGTAGGAGGACACGAGAGCTGTACTCAGCGTCTTAGCAAATCACAGATATTATTCTTAAGCCTTTATGTAAACATGTAAAAAGTTTTCTCAGGGATGACATTGATTTTTTATGCAAATTACCTACTGAGGTACCGGAAGGATCTATGTTAGTTAGTTTTGATGTTGTTAGTTTGTACAGTAATATTGAAACTGAGCTCAGACTGGAAGCTATCAGATACTGGCTGAAAGAATACTGCCATGAATGCCAGATAGATTTTCTGATGAGTTTATCATTGATGCATTGAAGTTGATTATTACCAATAACATGTTTTATTTTGATGGATCTTATTATTCACAAAAGAAAGGAGAAGTCAAGGGTACTAAGGTAGCCCCTACTTATGCTACCCTTGTGTTGGGATTTTTAGAGAATATGTTTTAGGATAAGGTGAGAGATACTCTTGGTGAATCTATGAAGAACAAATTGAATATGCATGGAAAAGGTTTTTAGACGACTTTTTTATCATATTAAAAACCAGTAAAAGTCAACTTCCCACTGTTCATGAAATTTTAAATTCACTTAATGCGTCACTCAATTTCAATATGGAAAAAAGCAATTCCAGTTTAACCTTTCTCGATGTAAGAATCAATTTAATATCTGGGAGATTTGTACTAACTGATATCTTTTATAAAGATACTTATACGCACCAATATTTGGATTTAGGATCATCATACAAAACGAAATATCCCTTACTGTCTCGCAAGACGTATTTGTACCATTGTTTCCGGGAATGATGTTAAAACTACTCGCCTTGCTGAACTTAAGAGTTTCCTACTGCATCAAAATTATCTCGCAAAGCTAATTGAAGATAGCATACAGAAGGCGCTAAGTATTAAGCAACTAAAACTGAGAGAAAAGTCGGAAGAAAACAATATGGAGAATAATTTAACTCTAGTATCTACCTTCAACCTTAATCATGAAAAAACATTATCCATGGTTCAACGATACCTGCCTATTTTGAATCAAAGTATTAAAATGGAGAAGATATTAAGCAAATACAAAATTTTCAACAGCCAAAGACAACCCAAAATCTTAGAAAGATTTTGACAAGTTCTAAATTTGATTCTGTTATCACTCCACAGGTGCCTAAGTGCGGTGACAAACGTTGTCTAACTTGAAGCAATATAATTGAAGGCTGTTCAGTCCAAATTACAAAGGACACTATATCTACTGTAAAACAAAATAAATGTTATTTACTTGATTGTTTTTAGTGGATGCAATGAAAAGTTTATCGGAAAGACAGAACTAAAATTAAAAAGAAGAATGAATCTTCACCGTTCACAAATAAAGCAGCCACACAACCGCACGATTCCACTCAGTGAACATTTAGAAGCATGTTGAAACGGCAACTTTTTAGTTTTCCTGCTATATAAGCTAAATTTTGATCATGAAACCTACATTGTTTCAAAAAGAGCAGCATTTCATTCATAAGTATTACCCACGTGGTGAAGATACAGGTGGTAAGATACTAAATCCGTACGTCACACGTGTGTCGTACAAGGTTGACCTTGTTTTATTCGTTTTGATTGGATAACCGTGACCTCTGTCACACCGGGACTACTTTTTTCATTCATAAAAAAAATCGCGAGACGTCATTCATTTTGTAACTACAAGAGAGAACTGAAGAAATTAACGAGAACGAGAGATATTTACAAACACTTTATTAAACCAAACAAAATAGTCACACGCATCAACTTCGGTTTGCATTATATATAAGTTATGCATAGAGCATCTACAGACATTATATAATAGAGCTATATCCATTTACAATGTACAACCAGGGGGCACGGGTGGCCCAGTCGTCTAAGGCGCCGCGATTCGCTGTGCAGAGTTGCG